ACCTTTTTTACCCAGTCATTTAGGTCACATTCCCAGAAAACAGCTCCAAAACATCTCAGGCATCTGGCCCATGTCCATCACCTCTAATGCCCTTGAAATGTACCCAAACCCCATTTTTCGGTGAGCCCATTAGTCCCACAGAAAAACTAATCAGCTGTCTGTTCTGTCTGTGTATTGCCTCGGTAATCTATTGAAACTTAATTTCAAATATAGGACCATTTCAAAGAGGGAACAACTGCAGAGCTCTCTACACACACGATACGTTTCACTAAAACAATTTCACAATCGTGTACATATTATGATCCCTTTGCCTGGAACACTTTATCTCTGGCAAATATGTTAGGAACACAGGTCAGTCTTTCACCGAGAAGTCAGCGTCTCAGCATTGTCTTAATATGGTCTTTCCATCTCCATTGTCTTAATATGGGATACCCATCCGACCCGTGAGCCCACCTCTGGTTACCTCTGCTCCTACCTTTGAAGCACATGGAATTAAAACTCCACCTAGTGGCGAAAATGCGGAGGTTTTCACCTCCTCCCCGCCTTCGGTTTAACCAGCCAATCACACGCTTGGAAATTTGGTATAAAAATAACGTCATTTCCTTCAAGCGTCCTCTTTTTCACCGTGTGGTCAGATTTCCATACGGCGTTGTTTCGTGGTGAGTTTAAACCGGCCTATTTAGTCATTTTAAATCGAAAGAAATAGTCAAAAATCGTAAAGTTATGACCGAGGTCAAAGAAAATATACCGTGGGGTAGATAGGCGCAGACTACCGTGCCCTAATCTTCTTAATTATCAACGCATTCATGATGCTAACCTTTGTAGCTAACATGCTAGCTGCTGACACGCGCTCTTCCTCCGTTTCTCGTGCGCCTTGCCTCCATCCAATGAACAGCGGCAGTGACGAGATTTCATATGATCGTAATTGATATCTGAAGACGATGGCAACCATACACATGAGTTATGACTTTTTTACACTTCAAGCGGCCTTTTGCATCCAAGATACCTCAACTTAATCCCCGCTTCGCTGCTTAGCTTCCTTTAAGTAAGATACGAGCTTCTGCGCCTTCACCCCTCGTAGTTAGGTTTTTCTCGACCTTCCTAACGAGATCTGCATATCATTTGCGCTCCCTAAATGGTTGATGGTTTAATCAGGAGGCTAAATTGACTTGACACATGCCCGTTTGTGGGATGAACATGTCTCCGTTGTGGCCTGCTGCAAGAGCACACACTAAGGGAGCATCTTCACTTTGCTAACAGCTACTGTTCTTGTGCTCAGCAATGGGCTTTTGCCGTTTTGTGTCTGATTAGAAATGCACTGATGTAAATTTAATTTTTTGGATGCTTCTTGTCTGGTTGTGGGTGTACTATTTTGTCTCTTTTGCAGCTTGTAGTTTTTCTAAGTTTACTTTTTTCCCGCAGCTCTCCCACTAACTCGTAACGCAGGGAAAGCGGTCACGATGTCCGGAGGTCTGGATGTCCTTCAAATGAAGGAGGAGGATGTGCTGAAGTTCCTGGCAGCAGGAACCCACCTGGGAGGTACCAACTTGGACTTCCAGATGGAGCAGTACGTTTACAAGAGAAAAAGCGACGGTGAGTGGTGTAGCAGTCATTTGCGCTCTGATGATGAAGCTTTTTTTATTACTTTGTCCCTGCTGCGGATTTACATGCAAATGACAAAACTTGTCGTGTTTTGCTCACTAGGTGTGTACATCATTAACCTGAAGAAGACCTGGGAGAAGCTGCTGCTGGCAGCCAGGGCCATTGTTGCCATTGAGAACCCAGCTGATGTGTGTGTCATCTCTTCCAGAAACACTGGCCAGGTAAAGTTCTGGTAAAACTGACTCATTGCTGTGATGTGCACACTGTTAAAACCTGGCACTTGCGTTGGTGTTCAGGTGTCGGAAGTGTGCAAGAGTAATCAGGCCGGGATTCGCTAACACCATAAGGACAACTGTCCCATGAATGGGGTTTGATAGTAACCTGAGCCACAGTTCTTTTTTTAAAAATCTAAGTTATTATTTTTGCTGTGATCTCAAGTAAAACCTGTACTGTCTGTTTCAGAGAGCAGTGCTGAAGTTCGCCTCTGCCACTGGTGCCACTACCTTCCACGGTCGTTTCACCCCTGGTACATTCACCAATCAGATCCAGGCTGCTTTCAGGGAGCCCCGCCTCCTGATTGTGACAGATCCTCGTGCTGACCATCAGCCACTGACTGAGGCTTCATACGTAAACATCCCCACCATTGCCCTGTGCAACACTGACTCCCCGCTGAGATATGTGGACATTGCCATCCCCTGTAACAACAAGGTAAAATTCAGTTAGTTTAAAACAATGACGGATGAGTCTGTGCACACACAGCTAGAGCCCTGCTGTTTTGTCTGTGCAGTGCGTGGTGTAGAGTGTGTGCTAAATAAAAGTGCCTGATCGCCAACTTCTTTTCTCTGAACCACACCAGGGAATTGGAGTTGAGGTCTTGCCACAAACTCTTTTCTACAGCTTTATGCCTTTTTGAATGTAACAAATCGCAGTGCAGCCCCGACAGGTTTGGATTTGACCCTATTTGTCTGTTTCAGGGTCACCACTCTGTGGGTCTGATGTGGTGGATGTTGGCCCGGGAGGTCCTCAGGATGAGGGGAACCATCTCCAGGGAGCACCCATGGGAGGTCATGCCAGATTTGTACTTCTACAGGGACCCTGAAGAGGTATGACTGGCACACTCAACTTATCGAAAAGTACTGAAGTGGCTAGAACCAAGTGCATGAGGCATACATTCTGCTGATACACTCACTAATGCTTATTATGTGCTTGTAGATTGAGAAGGAGGAGCAGGCTGCTGCTGAGAAGGCTGGTGTTGGAAAGGAGGAGTTCCAGGGCGAATGGACCACCCCTGCACCCGAGTTTGCCCAGCCTGAGGTGGCTGACTGGTCTGAGGGCGTTGCAGTGCCATCTGTGCCCATTCAGCAGTTCCCTGCAGGTGAGATGATTTGCTGCTTTGTGTTTAACTTGTAAATGCAGTGTAAGATTTTTCATTCACTTTTTCACACTTAATGGTTTAAACTTGATTGGGATTTTATTACAGCACCTGCCCCTGTCAAGCCTGGTGAGGTCTATACTGGTGAGTTTTTATATGGATCTTCATTACCTTTGTGTATCATGTGTGCTGTTATAGTCTCTGAACTTAACACCTTTTTCCTGTTCCATTCTAGGTGAGGACTGGAGTACTCAGCCTGCCACAGAGGATTGGTCCACAGCACCCACTGCTCAGGCTTCTGACTGGGGTGGCGCTGCTTCTGACTGGTCTTAAAAGTGATGCTCATGACAACAATAAAGTGTTTTTTACACTTTGACTTTGATTTGCTGTTTCATCTGATATTTACAATGAAAAGCCCTATTAAAAGTAATGAAAAATTGCACTAAATAACCAATTAAGAAGACTCTAATGTTGATGGGTTTTCCACAAAATGAATACAGCTGTGGGAAATGCGACTTTATTGAATCATAACATCACAATACAGGTAGACTGGAAATTATTTGGGTTCTTTGTCTTACTGCGCCTCACTGCTTTTTATATTGGCTGTGATTTAAAGATCCAGTGGACTAGGCTTAATTTAAAAGAAAAAAAAAAAGGCTAATCAGATTATGCATTGGCATTAATCATACCAAATCATGTTAAAAACTTAGTGGTTTGCAAATGTGGAATGGGTTGTACCAATTGTAGCACCTTCATGTGTGAAGTAAACATTTCCTGTTTGAGACTACACCCAGGTTTTCTGCAGCTCCACCTGCAGTGGGTCATATTCCTTCACTAGCCAGCTGGAACCTAACCTTTAGTAAAAGGGCCCCTGCAGTTATTTTCCCTGACTAGGTTGGAGTAGGATGAAATGCATTGGATTATATAACCAGAAAAACAATAAGGGGAATCTGTGGCATCATTAAAAGTTGCACCACTTATTTCTTTATATTTTGCTGGGGAAATGGGAACGGCAGTTTGCTGACATGTCCAACCATACATGGAAATGTTAATTTTCCCAAAGATGCTTTCAGTTATTAGTAGTTATTATCGCACTGATTTGTGTTTAAGGGGTCTACTTTCTCATAAGTTTAATTTTGATTAAAAAGAACTTGATACTGTTCAGTGGGTATTATGTTACGTGTTCTATAGTTCAGGCCGCCAGATCGGGGCGGGGGGTGGCTTACTGGGCTTATGCCCGGGTTGTTTTTTCAGAAGCCCGGGGTTTTTTGGTGTAATTTTTTTCGTAGTTAGATGCCTGGCTGAAAACTGTATAAAACAAAAACTACACACAATATTCGAAGCACATAGTGCACACTGTGGAAATTTACGACTGCGTAAATCCCCCCTAATATTGGTATGATCCGAGCTCAGACACTAAGCGAGGGGGCGGGAGGAGCTGCTGCCTGCGAGTGCGCAGTTGGAGAAAGGCGGCGAGGCAGTCAGAGGAGAACTGAATTTCGACCAGGTACCAAAGCAAATCATTCGTATTGTACAAATAATGTAAATATGACGGTGAATCACGAAAGATTGATGTCAAACTGATCACTTGACCCATATTACGTTACTTGCTCTTCAAGTGAATCAACAAATGGCGAAATGAAAAGCCGAACAACAACAATGCTGTTTCTTTAGAGAGTCTTAGCTTACATGTGTGTTTATTTCATATTTTCAGTTGTTACCCTCCACGGCTAAATAAATCGGTTTCAGTAATGTACTGATATACAAGAATGAACATAAGGAGCTTCTTTCAAAGAAAAAACTGGTAGATGTTATTTTATATATTATGCTTTGTATGTTGTTCAGTATATTTCTATGCAAAACAAGAGGAATTTCAATACACAGCAGTATATTCAGTTTAAACCAGATATTTACATACACTTTATGGAAAACACAAGAACATCTTTTTACTGTACAACATCAATTTAGAGTAAACTTGTTTTGTTTTGGATAAATAAATATTGAAATATCTTTTGAATTAGTTAAATGTCAGAATAAAGAGCGACAGACCTGTCTCTTTTTTTATCACTTTCATCAAATTTAGGAGTACATATACACTACATTTATTGTTAGTTAATTAGAAAACTCCAGACGATTCCATTCTGAGCTGAAGAAGCTTCTGATAGGTTAGTAGAGTCCATGTGAGTAAATTTGTGGCACACCTGCAGATGCATATAAGGCAAAACACAGCCTGTTTCTTTGAAATCAAGCTACAGGAGGCCATAGGAAAGCAACAACCCAGCAGCAGGACTGATACCTCCTGCAAAATGACCTCCAGCCGGCCACAAATGTGCATGTGTCTGCTCAAATGGTCAGAAACAGACTCCATGAGGGTGGCATGAAGGCCCAATGTCCACAGGTGGGGATTGTACTTACGGCCCAACACCGTGCAGGACGTTTGGCATTTGCCAGAGAACACCAAGATTGGGAACTTTGCCACTGGAGCCCTGTGCTCTTCACAGATGAATGCAGGTTCACATTGAGCACATTATGACAGACGTGACAGTGTCTGGAGACGCGATGGAGAACATTCTGCTGCCTGCAACATCCTCCAGCATGACCGGTTTGGCAGTGGGTCAGTAACGGTTTGGGGTGGCATTTCTTTGTGGGGCTGAACAGCCCTCCATGTGCTCGCCAGAGGTAGCCTGACTGCCATTAGGTACCGAGATGAGATCCTCAGACCCCTTGTGAGTCCATATGCTGGTGTAGTTGGGCCTGGGTTCCAGGCAATGCTAGACCTCATGTGGCTGGAGTGTGTCAGCAGTTCCTGCAAGACAAAGGCATTGATGCTATGGACTGGTCTACCCATTCCCCAGACCTAAATCCAGTCGAGCACATCTGGGACATCACGTCTCGCTCTATCCAGCAACGCCACGTTGCACCACATACTGTCCAGGAGCTGGCGGATGCTTGTCTGGGAAGAGATCCCTCGGGACACCATCCGCCACCTCATCAGGAGCATGCCCAGGCACTGCAGGGAGATCATAGAGGCACTTCGAGGCCACACACACTACTGAGCTTTATTTTGACTTTTTTTTAAAAGGACATTACATGAAAGTTGTATCAGCCTGTAATGTGTTTTTCCACTTTAATTTTGAGTGGGGCTCCAAATCCATGGGTTGTTAAATTTGATTTCCATTGATGATTTTGATGTGATTTTGTTGTCAGCACATTAAACTATGCAAAGAACAAAGTATTTAATAAGAATATTTCATTCATTCAGATCTGGGATGTCTTATTTTTGTATTCCCTTTATTTTTTTGAGCAGTGTATTTCTGATAAATGAAGAGTGTGAAACTGAAGTTGGATCCACCTTATTATATAGGTATTGGGCTATATGGTTATTTGTTACACAGACTATGGTGCACATACAATTAAAATGCCCATTCTTTTTTTTACTAACTAAAATGTTTAATTACTTGGGCTAATGCCAATAATAAAGTTACAGACTATGATTATACGAAATGTGTATACTTACTGAAATTGAAGTATTTTAATGATGTACAGTCCATATTAGATAATCCTGCAAAAGTGTAAAGAAATGGCATAATTAATCCTAGTGTGTTGACACAGTCCTCTGTACATCTTACTTGATTTGAGAGAAATAATATAAAGCATTAATATATGTTGTCCAGTGCTGAGGCAGAACCACTCAGTGACAAACAAACTTTCCTGTACTCTTAAATCTGAATACAGATTATTTAATATTGGAGTACATCTGTAGTAACTCCAGATTTACTTGTGAAAAAGTACACAAATTAAAGTACCATATTATGTACTGTCAGTGAAAACTGCCACAGTTTTACTGAGAAAGATAAAGACAAACAATCAAAAGGATAAAATAAAAAAATAAAAAGGCACAATTGCATCTAAAACACAACACGGCCTCAAAACAACTAGAACATGATGTCTTTTAGTCAAACACATGCATGCTCTGTGCTCATCACACTGTGACATTCCATTCTATAAAGTGACACCACAGATAAAATGTGAAGCACAATATTAGTAAATTAATACTTAAAAAGTCTCATTTCATTAAACCTGATTTCTTGCAACTCCAAAATGAGCCTGAAAAAACGAAAGAAAATGAAAGGCGTCTCATGGGTGAAGTTAAACGGCTTAAAACTAAGATTTTAACCCTGGTGGAGAAATCGTTGAAAAAAAAAGAGCAGGATGAGGCTGCCAAGTTTAAAAATGAAAGAGATCCAACAGTCAAAAGCGGAAAAACTACAGATTCATTTCCTCCGGACCCAATATGAATCGGAGAAGACGTTTGAGACCAACAAATATGAGGGAAAAAAATCTGGCTATGGAGAAGAAATGCAACGATTTTGAAGATAAATGCGATTGAGAGAAAAACACGTGAGCAGAGAGATAAACACGTACTTTTGAAAGGGACTTGGATAATAAAGCGTTAAGGAAAGAGTTAAGATTAAAAACCCTGGACACATAAAGTCGGACAAAGGAAGAAGCTGTCTAGTGTGCAGCACCTACAAAGAGTCATTAAGATGAGAAACAACAAAGTGCCTAAAGATATAACTTAAATGTGTTATTATATTTTCTCCTTGTAGTAAACAGCTGAGATATCCTGGCTGTTCAGAACAATCACCTCCTCCACGTTCGCGCTAGTCTGTCAGGTGGGCGTGTTTATGCGCTGCCATTGGACAAACGCGGTTCCCCTTCCTCTCTGCCTTCCGCTTTCTTTTCATATGCACGCCCAGCCTCTGAATAATGATAATAATGATCAAGATGGCTACTTCAGAATCCTCCTTGCGGTAGCTAACCACCAATTTCATGGAAGCTGTCAAAACTGCGATTTCCTGCAGTTTAAGTCACTCGTAGGCGACGGGGGCTGTTCCAGGGATAATACTGTATGGATTAAAACGGGCCGAGGAACGATAAAAGTCATTGTGTTGCCCGCAGCACTCATTCCGAGGAAGCTAACTAGCTGAGCAACTAGCTAGCTCTTACTTGTCGACCATCTCCAGTTTAGCTCCCCTGCCACTGGCGGCTGAGAGGAGCGTGGCGCTCCAGGTTTTGTGTGCCCGGACGTCGGAAGGAGAGCGTCAAATGGCAGAGCCGAGGAAAGTGCCGTTCGTCACCATTTCCACCCTCAACACCACCCCGCCGCCGACCCCGGAGACCAGCAAGAAACGCCGCCGCGAAGATGAGGCCGTCGACATCACTTTTGGGAAAGATGGAGGTGGGAGTGCGGTCGGGTCAGGGGGTGGCGGAGGTCTGTTCGGCAACGAGAAAGGTAGCGACGCGCAGAGGGAGGAGAAGAAGCCCACCGTCCGCCTCAACCTCACGCTGAGCGAGCCGAATGAGCGAGGGTCCTCCGAGTTCAACTACGGCGAGCTGGTCCACTCATCTCTTTCTCAGGTTAGGAGAGCAGAGGCAGACACGGTGGTGTTAGCGGGGGGGCTAACCGGGCACAACTCCGGTGGTGCTGAACCCGCGTGCATGTTGCACTTGTTGTTTTGTTGTTGTTGTGGCTGCTGAACTTTTGTCTGACAGGATTTGCAAATAAAGTAGATCACACTGAGCCCGTAAATACTTGATGTTCATGCTCCATATGTATTTATTTATTATGACCTTTAGATAGATTTCGGAGAGTTTGAAGCAGTGCGGTTTAAAAACGCAGTCTGAATGTAGGCTGAAGTATTTTAAGTGTCAGGGACACTGGACCCTCTTATTATTACCATCCTATCTTGTTACTCCTATGTCTACATCTTATGTTATTACCGATATAGAGGTGTCCTACTTAATCTACACAAGACAAAGAGTTGCTATAGTAAGAACCTCCCTACTTTTTCATTTATTTTTATTTTTTATGCAGGTTGCATGTATTGCCAGGTGCGACTATGACTTTGACGTTGTTGTCAGCCTTACGTATTTACAATTCAAGTTGCTATCCTGGTGTTCCTCAGGTAAAGCCCGTGGGTTCTGCTGTACCCAAAGGACTCACTCCTCCGCTGGACCCCAGTGACCCTTTTGCAGATGATGAGAAGGAGAGGCGGGAGGTAGAAGAGCTTGCCAGAAAATTTGAAAGCAAATATGTAAGTAGCAAAGTAAACTCGGGCCTGTTTGCATAACACCAGTTGAGGACAACAGTCGTCCAAAGTTTTATGTTGTAAGGTAAAGACCCTAGAGTAAAACGTGAAGAATGTTAGCGTTTCCTGCCTGACTGCTAATCAGGCGTTTGAGGAATTATTCAACCCTTCATGGTTTAAAAATCTAATTTTTGGAAGCTTCAAAAATGTAGGCTTAGTTCCAGGGTTGAGAAACAGTGTTAAAGCTATGTTATCACTGATAACAAGTCTTTTCTAATATTGGCTTTTACAAGCACACGAATGAAGCAGCCTCCATAATAACATGCAAATTGGTGGCGATTCTGAATATTTCACAACAGCCAGAAACGAGACTAAAGTCAGAGTCATGTTAGAGAAATTGTAGCTATTTGACTGCTAGGTTTCAAGTTATGAAGCCATATTTGAAGTTGTTGAGTGGTAGCAAAATGTTTGTCCTGGATTTCCCTTCCTTCTGTTTGGCTGCCTGCTATCTAATAACCGCAGGGGTCAGTGGAGTTGAATGATAATGTGACTGAGAGACCTTCTCTGGAGTTTGAGTTATCATAGTTTAGCATTTCTGAATTGGTTCTAAGAGAGAGAGAATTTGCTCGTTTACTTTTAGTTTTTATTGTTTGAAAAGTTTACTTTCAGTTTTAGTTTTTATTTGCATGAGAGATTTTTTTTTCCTTCACATCATTATTTAATTGAGGGCACAGTGAGACTGCTTTATGTCAGCGGTTGATTTACTGTCATAGAAATCCTAAGTTTCAATAAATAATCAGACTGAACTTTCTAAACGTAGAAACGATTTCAATTGCACAGTATTTTTTTTTTTTGATTAGTCTAATTTTTGTTTTTATTTTAGTAATCTATTATTATCATTATTGTTGTTATTATTATTATTATTTTACCATACCTAGTTTTAGTTCTAAGTTCAGTTTTAGTTAGTTACAGTGGCGCCGTTTTTATTCCACTGACTGACCGGCCAATCAAACGGTGACTAAAACTCACACAGGTGAATGGTTCAGTGGCAGTTCTACAAAATGGTAACAATGTAGAATAGAAACATTCTGATGTCTTGTTGTTAAAGAGTCACTGATTGGATATGTGTGCTGTTGTGTTCGATTGTATCTTTTCTGTTAAATTAATTTAAAAATAATTTCTAAATTTTGTGACTGGTAGGATTTTGTTCTGTATACAGTTTTCTTTTAAAACTAACAGGCAATTTAGAAATCTAATAAATAATGTTGAAGTTAAAAAAAACATTATTCATTTAATTTCTTGCTCCAGGTGACTTCTGCAGTTAAGACGAGTTTAAACAGGCTTTTACTTACACACACGTGTTGGTTTTTGTGCTTGAGCATGCATATCATTTTTAAATTAAGTAAATATTTTTTTTCCCAGTTAATGTATTCCTAGTTTTGCTTGACATGACAATTCTTTTAGCCTACATGATTCGAACTGTTTAAGAGCTGCAAACCTTTTCTTTCAACCTCCAAAAGTTGATTCTGATTGATTCTGGACGCAGCGTTTTCAGTGGGAGAAACGTTTCGTCACTCATCCAAGTGACTTCTTCAGTCTGAGACAGAATCAACTTTTGGAGATTTACTTACCTGGATGATTGAGCATGACTTTTCTTTCAGCCATAAAGGCCCCCACAGGGTCCTCTGGATGATGAAGTGTCCTTTTCAAAAGTAAAAGTCTCATGTTTATGTTTATTGTGACTCCATGTTTGGTGCCCCGTGTACCCCCAGTACCACAGCGGGACAAGCAGCGCCCCTGCCTCCCTGTACTGAAGCGCTGGTTCTGCTGTCCATATTGTAGTTACAGCTGAATCTGTGTGGGTGATTATTGTTGCGTGTTTCTGTTGTATTTTTAAATATTTTGTGATCTTTGTGTTTACTCTCCATTTGCAGGGCGGCAGCTCGAAGAAGAAGAAAAAGGACAGAATGCAGGATCTCATTGACATCGGCTACGGCTACGATGAAACCGATCCCTTCATTGACAATTCAGAAGCTGTGAGTTTAATCTTTTAAAAAAATTAATCTTCTTTATTGGCGTTCATCAGAATAGGTTACGTTTCAGGTCTCTTTGCCAAAGATTAAAATAAGTAACAACCTTATTTGTAACGAAAGTAAAAAATAAATAAGTGTAGTAAAAAGATGATAAAGATTCATGTTGTATTAAAATAATAATGAGAAATTCCAGTAACTTTAATATAAAGTCATGGTTCTTTGCTTTGCTTCATTTACTTTTGTCAGTGGATGCTTTTGATCTGCAGTAGAAACAGAAGAATAAAAGAAACTGGATAAGAGGGAAAACATTAAACAAATAAATATATAAGCTTTAATACTGAGAATAATATTAGTAAAGTTTAGTATTATTATGTGTAGTCGTTTGGAAGACTGACCGTGGAAGAAGACTGTTGCATTGTAAGAAAACAAGCAGTTAATTGTAATCCTACCCCGTCCTCAGTATGATGAGCTGGTACCGGCCTCTCTCACCACTAAACATGGAGGCTTTTACATCAACACGGGCACTCTGCAGTTCAGAGCTGCGTCTGACTCTGAGGGAGAAAACGCGGCTGGAAACGATAATCATTTTAAGGTAGGTGCTTGGTTCTCTGTGCACTCTGTATATGAACAAATAGTTAAAAAGAAAAGCTGTTGCTTTGCTCCTTGTATTATTCTATGCCGTTTTTCACCTTTTGTGTCTTATCTGCAGAAGATGAAAGACGGTGAAGAGCGAGTGATTAAAAAGCGACGGAAAAAGCAAGATGGTGGAATTTTGGAGGAAAAGAAACCCCGAAAAAACAAAGTACCAAAGTCTGGGTGAGGTTTTGACCTGTAATCCTGTATTATAGTTATTTCAATAAGTAGCTAATTCGTTCCTTAGATAAATTAACATGAGGTGTTCGTTTAAGAATAGGCATTGCTCCTCGTTGTGCCCATCCCATCAGACAAATAAAGGAATATCTACATTATTCATTTATTTAAAAATAGTTCAACACTACTTTTTGGCTTTTACATGGGACTTGAACTTTAATTTCTGTGGTCCTCTATAAAATTTATTTTACCACTAGTTTTCCCCCAGAAGGCATCAGTAGTACTTGGCCTAAACTTCTTTGTAGTCCTTGTGTGTCCTGGTCTGTTATTGGCTAAAAGGGGGGTAGGAGGCTAGTTTCGTTTTATGCCACTTTAATTACAATATACTAAACAGTTAGTAAGAATTTGTTGTCCAGTGATGTCAGTAAAACACTGCTGTAACCACAGACCTTATCGCTACGCTGTGCCTTAAACGTCTTTATTCTTGTGCTTCTTTGGTCTCGGCAGCGTTTCAGCTTTAAACCGGCCAGAAAAGAAGAAGAGGAAGAAGCTGATGAAGGATTCCCTGCACCTGGCCAACATGCTGCGACGCTTCACCAGGGAAAAGGAGGAGATGCGCAAGAAGAACATGGCCGCCGCCGGTCTGCCGCGACCTATCCCCAAAGTGCCGAACAGCAACAGTGCGCTCCTGAACACCCATCCCAAGGCCGCTGGTGGCAACGACTGCAACATGACCGACCTTTCCGCAGACCCTGCTGTGATGTCGCTGCTCGGCACGGCCAACAACGACTTACTGCAGGACATGATGGGTGACCTGGACTTTGGGATGCTGGACTCGCCTCAGCCTTCCAGCCCGGCTCAGGGAGAGAACGGCTCCTTTGGGATGGGACACAAAATGGGAGGTAGCCGGGTGGTGCAGAGCAGTGTGATTACCCCTCCTCCTCTGCCCTGCGGACTTCCAGACCCACTTGCGAAACGCATTGAAGACCTGAGAGCGGTATGAGCCTTCTACCAGCTCATATTATTATTTTTTTTATTAAATAATTGTTAGTAAGAGTGTAAATTAAATGTGGAGTAGACTGCCTACATAACCAGTCCTATTCACTGCTGCGATGTCTGTTTGTCACAGGCGTCCCGTCTGTTTGATGAAGAGGGCAGAAAGAAATTCTTCACACTGGACATGAATAACATCCTACTGGAGTGAGTACATTCCTTAATTTTGAATTAGTGCGGATTAATTTGTATGAAATCAATTAAATGTAAATTTGTGTTTGTTTCTGTGTGTGTCAGCATCGAGCTGCAGGTTCAGGAGCAGCCCACAGAGGTGCGTTCAGCTGTCTACTCTCACCTGGAGGCCTTTGTGCCCTGCAATAAAGATGCTCTGCTCAAACGACTTAAGAAGCTCAGCCTCAACATACAGGTGTGTGGCAGCAAGTTTTCTTACTGTTAGAATGAGTTTTGGTAAAATGGGATC